CATAAGGGGTGGGTGGGTGGGTTTCTTTCTTTCTCACTCTCGCTCTTTTTTTCTCTTACTTCCAGTAATGCCAGATTGTCTAAATCCTTCTCCATCTCTCCGTTTATTTTTTATTTTTTACTTTTTAAAGTTTCCACTTTGTCATTAATTGATTTAACTTCTTCCTTAAGTTGTCCTATAGATCCTTCCTCTTTTGTGGGGGACCTTCTTCTTTCATCTCCTCTTTCATCTATGCAAACCTTTCTTCCATTCTCACTTCAAAAGCAACCAGCTCACTTTTAATAGATTTGACAGATTCAGATACCTGCTTCCCTATCCCTTCAGACATTTTCTGGAATATTTCTGGAGTAATCCCCTTTTCTGTCAGTTGCTCCAGCAAACCTCTCCTTCCCTCACCAAGCCTTGCAGCTTTGCTGGTGGTCGCCATTCTGTTATTTATAATCCAAAAGTAAAAGTACATCAATTATGAAGATGAAAGTACAAGGATGGCTTCTCCCTTTTTCCCCTCCTCTTTTGCCTATTCTATACACTTAAGGCTTTAATCCAACCTGTTTTTCCTTAGTTTTAATGAACAGTCGATCTCAAATTACACTTACCTTCTTGTTTTGTAAATTCCACTATTTGTCTTTTCCCTTTGATGTCAAACAATCAACATTCCCACAAAGGCTTGGTCTACTTATTTAATTAATTTCAAAGCGCACCAAAAGTACTTTCACCAAAATATTCATCTTTTAGATTTGTACAGTCCCCTTGATTTGTTTATAAATTTCTTAGTCAAAATCTTGTTAAGCTCTTTGTTAGTGTTTCAAAGTCTTTTAAAAATATTATTTTCCTCTTTGTTTTAGTTTCTGTAATTTGGAAGGGAGGTTGACTCACCAAAAGGCTATTTTCTTTGTCCCACTGTTTTCAAAGACCTCTTTTCAACTGTAAATTGATTGTATCCAAAAGTGATTAAGAAAGTGATGGCCTGGTCAAACTTAGCATCCTTTAAAAGGCTGCACTTGTGTGTGGGAGTATACAGTTTCTTCCCTGACCACTTGCCTCTCTACTCATGAGAAGACCACACAACTTCCATCCTGTGGTCTTCTCATGAGGACGGGCAGTCCAGGGTGTAGGTGGGCAATCTCTCAGTCTTTTCTTTATCTGGAAAGACTTCACTGGCCAGAAATCAATTCTGGCTGCTGTTCACTGCTGCAGGTTGGGGAGAGATCATCCTGTGTGGTTGCTAAGAGTCAATGTCAACTTGATGGCACATAATCAGATTGAATCTATTGGATTCGATGGTTCTTGGAGAACTTGGGAACCCAAAGCAATCATAATGGGGAGAAAAACAACCCTCTTGATAGCTCCCACTCAGAATATTTTCTGGAGCTTGCTGGAAGACAGACAGCTGATGGGGTCAATCAGTGAACAAAGGAACAGCAATAGTCACAAGTCGACATATTTCTTCAGCCTGCAAGGTGGAGGAAACTACAAGAACCAATTTCCAGCCATTTATGATGTCCACCATGCATCACCACCACTTTGCTGCCACCCCTGGGCAAATGCCAAGGCAGTTACCAATAGAAATGTGTTTTCTGATCTACAACACCTCTTCCACATACTGATAAGCTTGCATAACCTTCCAAGACCACAGTGCCACAAGCAAAGAGGAAATACTTCACAGAAACCTGTTTGTCCAAACTAAGAGATCATACAGAATATGAAAAATATTCCCTGCTCCCTATTCAGATGACCACAGAGTCAAGGAAAATTCTTTAACACTTCATAAAAAGATTGATTGAGTAATTATTCAGGAAGGCATGTCTCTGTTGTTCTAAGTAGTGAAACATTTACCCTTGAAGGCTCTATTAAATATTATTTCAAGCATGAGGATTTCACAATCTACTGTGTATTCAGTAAAAGCAGTTATAACAGATTATTAACATCTGTCTAAAAGATTGGAACACTGTACAGTTAAAATGAGTTGAAACTGTTTGCAAAGGTTTTGTAGACCCCACATAGACATGTATCACAGGAAAGTATAGATCAAATTCATGGGGAAGAAACAGAAAACTAGGGCAAAGTTTGGAGGTTAGGTAAGTCAGGGTGATGATTCAGTAGAAATTGTAGCTGGGATGTGCCTTGTGGAATGCTTTGAAATTCATATTTGTTTCATTTCAGTTTATAGATGTCATTGCAATTGCTACTGAAAACTGCTTTCTGAAAGGAAATGGATTGGATTGGACCAATTTTAATATTATTACTATTTATTCTTGCAATTATGTCCCCTTTTTTTTCTTGTTGTTTTCTTAGTTAATTAATAACAAAACCAGGGGGTGGGTGAGTTGCCCTTCACACCCAATTATGAGGCAAGAGGGAAGTGACTTTCTGTTAAGAATAATGTATTTCAGTCATGATCAGACTTTGACACATCTCTGTGTGCTCCACTTTACAGTTCATTCTTTCTGTGGGTCGAAACTGTAAGCTGATAGCCAATTGTTAGCTCATCTGTTCTCTGGATGGAAATATTCATAAAAGAAGGAGAACGTAGAGAGTCAATATTTCATCATTCCTTAACTGAGTTATAAAATATTGATTCCGGAAGGATTTCATGACAATTTCACAACTCATTCTGTATTCCATAATTATAATAGCTTATATACCTCTGTCTTAAAAGCTGGATTGTTGTGCAATACAAATGTTGTGAAACAAGTTTGCAAAGTTTTCATACATCCCACATGTATATGTATCACAGATAAGCTCAGATCAACTTCCTGGGGTGGAGAGACAAAACAAGGGCAAGGTTGAAGGTTTGATAATTCAATAGAAAGAGTAGCTGGCCTATGCCTCAAGCAGCGCTTTGAAAGAGAGGCTGTTGTTACTTCGGTTTGCAGAATTACTACTGAAAACTGTTTACTACAAGGAAATGGATTGGACTGGAGCAATTTTAATATTATTATTGTTCATTCTTGCAATTATGTTCCTTTTGAAGAAGGGCAGTTCCTGGAATGACAGCTCCCCAAATCTTCCCCCAAGACCCAGGACCATACCCATTTTGGGAAATCTGCACCTGATGGATATGAAGAGGCTTTCCAGAGGAATGATCAAGGTAAAGCCTGATGATTAACAGCCATAAGTATTCTTTGCCATAATTTATTGATATAGCACAAAAGTTTGCTAACACTGAATTAAGTCATATGTGCTCCCTGTTGATTCTAAAGTATCTATGGAAATTAATGTACCAGGTGCTTGAATTCATTTAAATTCTCTGGTAGGATTATTCCAAGAAAAGCATTTTTGTTAGTCTGTTTAAATTTTTCTAGTATTTCACTCAAATTGGAAGAGATGGTTAAAAAGCCCCATGAGCTTTTGGGAAATATAAATGAACATCTTCTAAGTTCTTTCTTTAGGGAATTCACATAATTACCTTCAGAAACTCCTAGGGGCACAATTGAAAGTTTTTATGTGATCCCTTCAACAACGTGGCAGAGGCTGAGTTTCTCTTTCAGTGAAAATTCCACTATGTCCAGTGTTAAAGGCTCCAAGGCAGCTTTGGAAAACGCCGGAATATATCTCTTGTGCAGGCTTCATACTCAGACAGTCCTGCACAGTTGATCCCCTTAGAATTTATGAGAAACATTTATCTGTTTGGCATGGTGACCAAGGATCATTTTATTCCATAAGGGTTGTTTTTGTGTTAAATATATATAACACGGAAATTAAATGCTCTAATAAAAATAACAGCATCATAATGTCTCAATAAAGGAAAATAACCTGACCTCCACCTGGAATTGTGAGACATGATTTTTTAAACAAACTTCTGCATATGTGAGTCTAATTATTGATCAAATGGTCTCTTGTTTTTCATCTGCTGAATTCCAGTTGTCAAAAGAATACGGTCCCATTTTCCGCATCAAACTGGGATTCCAGGAATCGGTGGTGCTGATTGGCTATGAGACGGTCAAAGAGGCGCTGGTGAACCAGGCGGATGTATTTGCAGAGAGGCCCTTAATCCCCATTTTTGAGAACTCTGCAAAGGCCTTAGGTGACTTATCTCATTTCGGATCATAGCTGGCATTCCTTGCAGAGGTGTGATCGGTGCCATGGAGACATTTTCATAGGTAGTAACATAAAAGAACTAGGTAGCATGTGGAAATCCAATCTGGAGAGAGATGCAGATATTTTTTTTCTTTCATTATTTGACTATATCCTTGCATGCCAACACTCTAGGTGGCACTAGAGAATAAAAAGATAAGACAGCATTGTAATAACAGCTTGAGTCATACATATAGACATACACCGGTTTGGTTCTGTTTCTCTTGCAGATGTGGGGTTTGGAGAGTCTTGGTTTTTTATATGCATTTTTCTATATATGTCTACTCAGATACATAATTTTGCCAGTCTCTGTTCCCTGATTTGCATTTTTGTCCATTCCCCAAGGAGCATTTCTCCATTACATACGTACAATGTGTGCAACACAGACATGCACTGCCACAGAATCCATTAAAATGATACTATGAAAATATTAGCCTCAAGCTAGAGAACTGAGAATTTGCAAGGCCTATTCCTGAGTGTTGGAATTGGTGGGTCGGTTGTCTATGGAAGGAAGTGCGTCTGTGTATGTGTGTTTTTCTCCCGAAGCCCCACTTGGTTCATCTCCAGCCACCTCTTCTGGCAAGAGGCACCTGGGTGTTGTACACACTGGATTGTGAACACTGACTCCTATAGGCAGCATATATATTTTTTTTAAAGCATACCTTCAGAGGAAAGTGTGTTCATTGCATTTCCAGTGCTTCTGGAAAGAGATGAATTAATCTTTTGGTGTAAAGACCACATACTGCTTTCTGCACCCTTCATTTCTGATACCCTAACAATCCTGGAAATAACTTCAGGTATTATTCTTCAGGTATTATTTTTTCTCACGGTGAGAACTGGAAAGTAATGCGACGGTTCACATTATCCACATTACGGGACTACGGAATGGGCAGGAGGACCATTGAAGACAAAATCATTGAAGAGTGCACGGTCTTAATGAAGACAATTAAGACGTACGCAGGTGGGTTGGCATTTCCTCCTAAGGCTCTACTGGAGCATCTTCCAGGACGAATGTAGTATGCAAAATAACGTCCATCAGATTATATCAAATGAACAAGGAGTGCTTTTGGAATACCTTCTCTCCAACAATTCTTAAATCCATTTTTTCCTTATAAATATCCTTAGTTGTCTAATGTGTGCTAAATGCATTTTAATTAATATTTTAATAATTATAATAATAAAATAATGATGATGATGATGATGAGGTAGAACCCTGACTTAATAGATGTCAAAATCCTTCTGGTAGTGTTCATACTGGAAACAATTTCTAATTCTGTTCTCTTGAATAATTTAGTGTACTCTAATACTCTCTTTTTAATAACAGTTCTAGGCTTAATTTTTGGTAAAATAAAGAGAGGAGTGTTAGGGCAGCCACCCAGTACCTAAACATGAAAATGTGTTGTACACTAGAGATATGGCTCCTCCCTGTTTGGGTCAACGGTAATCATTTTGCAGTTTCTCAAAGAACAAAAAGACATAATCTAAATTTATTAAGTGATGTAGAGTACATACTTCATATCCTACCAAATTCACCAGCAAAAGTATTACCTTCCAATTGTCGATATTGGATTCCCTATTATCATCCGTTTAACACAGTCAAAAGGATCAAACTGGAGTTGCTGCACTTATTCAGCATCACACCTCCTTGGCAGTCACTATAGCAGGAGAAAGAATTCCATATTTTCCAAAATATTGGTCCCTAAATCATTTCAGTTTATAAGACTTGTTATATGCCTAGCACCAGTATCTGGGCTGCAAAAATCTGTATGACTATGGGACAGCAGCAAAGAGGGACACAGAGCTCTAACCGCTGGAATTATGGTTCTCTGCATTTTCCAATCCAGAAAGGATATGGATAAAACTTACCATCCATTCACTAAGGTGAGGAATAAGAAAAAAGAGATTCCCTGTGAAATAAAATTAATCTAGAAAATTAAAGCTTCTTTATTGGCAAATGAGGTTCCATTTCGGGAGCATTCCTACACCCTACAAACTCATTATGCTATTTGCTTTTTGGTAAGCCAGTTGCAGTAAAGAAAGGCCTGAGAGCATTAAAAAAAGAAGAAAAAAAGCAAGGTCTCGTTTACACAAACACTGTTCAGCCTACCTCCCCATACCTTCCTAGCCTCCTAGCCTTGCAAACCATACTTTCTATTGCCAGGTCCACACAGGGCTTCCTATATTGTCTTTTGTCCCTTAATTGTCTCATCTCCTTCTTCCTGAGGATCTCATTTATTCCATCCAACCACAATGTACTTGGTCTTCCATTTCCTCTCGATCCATTCACTTTTCTTAATAAATTAGTTCAGTGATTTGATCCTCTTTCATTCTTTCTGTATGACCAAACTGCCTCAGTGTATTTCTTTCATTTCCCACTCCATTCATCTAATTTTTCTGCTTCTTCTGATGTATGAATTTCCATATACCCAAGTGGGCAGAAGCATTCTCTTATATCCAGCGAATGTGACACTCCCTGCTCAGTGTTGAACCTTTTGCTGCACATTCCATGTATTCTCATGCATGTTTTCAACTCATCATGAACCACTCAGTGCATTCAGCAATCAGTTGTCAACTCATGGAAAATGAGGCATAAATCAGTTTTCTTCACACTCTCTTCATATCAGTAATGTACAATAAACTTACCTGCTGATGTCCACTTATGTCTCAACTAATTTAATTAAATTTAATTTATTCAGGTAAATGCTATGTCCCCTTCATGGATCACTGCCTTGTCGTGGCGAAGGGGCTTGCGTAACTCAGTGAAG